CCTACCCTTTTGTAGCAGCATTTAGTACCCAGTTTTGATATACACAGTTACTACTACTTTTTTCATATAGAGCTTTGAATGAGCTTTCCAGTGGTATATTTGACATCTGTCTAGCATAATTAGTTGATTTTTTATGAATTTTTTAAAAGTCGTATGTTTAGTTGAACACTGCTAATTTTTCAAAGTGTTGCCTACTTTTTTGAAGCAGCATTTAGTTCCCAGTCTTGATATACAGTTACTACTACTTTTTACATTAGAGCTTTGAATGAGCTTTCCAGTGGTATATTTGACATCTGTCTAGCATAATTAGTTGATTTTTTATGACTTACTAAAAAAAATGGCCTCAAACTGCAATTTTGTCATTGGTTTCTTCGCCTTAGGCATTTTTGGCCAGCATACCTCTTGGATACGACTATATCTCTTTTGTATTTAACCCTTTAGAAAAATTGAGTAAAATCTCAGTATGTATATCTTATGAGATTTGCATTTTGATAGCTATCCAGCCTTAAATGTTTATTTTATGTATCTTGGAAAATGGGGTTCCAAGCCATTGGCATCCAATTTTAAACTTCATTTTTATGTTTTCTTTCAGTTTTGAACTACTATAATCACTACAATAGCAACATGAATTATATTTTAATTTCTTTTACGCTAAGTTTGTGTGTTTTTATCTAAGAATATGTAAATCATTTTTGATTTTCAAGACCGGTTTTCACGTAGTGTGACCATGAAACAGCGTTGTGAGCCAGTTGCGCACACGTCACGATTTTTACAAGTGCAACAAATATTTGAAACATCATATCTCAGGTGTTTGTTGATGGATTTTGATAATTCTTTTTTCATAGTTCTTGTTTCACTGAGCACTATATGGAAAGCATAGTCTTGTTCTGGTATTCTTTTAAAAAAAAATTCACTTGAGGTACCTATTATTACTAGGAGAATGTTTAAAATATCTGAATACGATTGTGAGGTATCCAGTGGCCGTGGGTGAACCAGAATATGAAATTTGCTCACGTCTGCCCCCACGTTGTTGTTATGCGTCAATAAAAGATATCAAAGAGAGGGAGGGGGAGAGAGAGAGAGAGAGAGAGAGAGAGAGAGAGAGAGAGAGAGAGAGAGAGAGAGAGAGGGAGGGAGGGAGAGAGAGAGAGAGAGAGGGGGGAGAGAGAGAGAGAGAGAGAGAAAGAAAAAGAGAGAGAGAGAGAGAGAGAGAGGTGGAAAGAGTTGGCGAAGGGAATGTGGGGGCGAACGATGGGGTCCGTAGGGTAAAATTATATTATTAGATTGAGAAGAGATCATTAATCATGTAACGCCTTGCGTGGAATATGAGTTAAGAGTACAAATTAAATTCATACTATTCCAACTTACCCCTACAGTGGGGGGTCAAAAATGCACGGCGCAACTTATTGTGCGTGAAATATCTCCTTACCTATCGAACATAGATTCTCCAACTTTTGCACAGTGACTTATATCAATTTGTCTCAACAGGTGAATATTTTTTCAAACTCCTGCACACTGTATTCTAGAAATTTTCTTAATAAAAAATCCCAGTCGATTGTTTCTATAAATTAAAACAAAAATTACAGCTCTGGCAATATCGCTTTTGCCTTTTAAAAGCAAGTCTGTCATTTTTTTCCAATAGCATGCATGCTTATTGAACGTATGTTTAGGAAACCTTTATTGTAAAAAGAATGTGTTCATTATAAAAACATTTTTGTATGAAGTTTTGCCACTAAAAAGTGTCATTGGCGAGCTATGACGTAGGCCATATGTGTATGCAAAATGTGTGCGAGAAGTGCTATGAACAATCACATTTTTCGCGTGATGGAGATTTATAGGTCTAGTATTTTATACATTTATGAAGAACATTTTTTTGATCGAACCTCAATTGTTGTGGAAAAATGTGATTCAGTTTTAAGACATTTTTTTATACAAACTGCTGTGCAAAGTATGGGTGACATTGATTCTCCCGTTAAAGAGATATATACAGTATTTTTGAGGAAAAGTTGCGCCACAAATTTTTGAACGCACTATTGTTACACGACACCTGTCCAGTTATACTTATGTTGTTTAATTATTAATGTGGACAGGCGTATAATATGTAATGCGCTTGCAAATAAACTTTAATTCGTCTGTGCTTAGTTCACTCCCCGACGTTCTGTCAAGTCTCTACAATAGTTTGTTTTGCTTTCCATCTACCTTTTCCAAGCTGTCTTCTTTTTCCTTTCTTTTCATGTTATTGTTATTGTCACTGAATGTGAGTTGATCTTGCATCTTGCGCGCTATCAAGACTGAGTGCGTGCTCTTAAATGCAAAAGTGAGTAAATTTCCGGCGTTTACGAGCGTCATTAAAAAGGGCTAAGGGGTCTATTTTTAGGTCGCAAAGCTTAAAAATGTACTCACGTCTGCCCGCAGAATGAGCCTGAGCACACACACTATTATCCTACTAATTTTTGTCCAAAACATTCCCTTTGTGTAAATTTGTTCATCTCTCTCTTTCTCTCACGACTCCCCCCCAATCTTTCTCTCTCTCTTTCTCTCTCTCTAACACACACATAGACACACACACACAGACACACACACACAAACACATACTCACACTTTGTCTCCCCCTCTCTCTCCCGCTCCTTCTTACTTTCTTTCTTTCTTTCTCACTTCCTTTCTGTCCGTTTTTCACACTCACACACACACACACTCTCTCTCTCTCTTTTCTCTCTCTCTCTCTTTTTCTCTCTTAGGCTTAGGGGCCTATTTATTTTAGGTCGCAAAGCTTAAAAATGTACTCACATCTGCCCGCAGAATGCGCCTGCGCACACACACTATTATCCTACTCATTTTTGTCCAAACCATTCCCTTTTTGTGTACATTTGTTCATCTCTCTCTTTCTCTCATGAACACCCCTCCCCCATCTCTCTCTCTCTCTCTAACACACACACACACACACACACACACAGAGGCACACACACACACACAGAGGCACACACACACACACAGAGGCACACACAAAAACACACACACACACATACTCACACTTTTTCTCCCTCTCTCTCTCCCACTCCTAATTACTTTCTTATTTTCTTTCTCACTTCCTTTCTGTCTGTTTTTCACACTCACACACACACACACACACACTCTCTCTCTCTCTTTTCTCTCTCTCTCTTTCCCCCTTCTCTCTCTCTCTCTTTCTCTCCCTCCCTCTCTTTGATTTCTTTTATTGACACATAACAACAACTTGGGTGCAGACGTGAGCAAATTTCAAATTCTGGTTCACCCACGGATACCTCACAATCGTATTCAGATATTTTAAACACTCTCCTTGCAATAAAACTCCTAATGTCAGGAGCTTCGTTAAACTGGCCATTTTCCTCCAGTATTTTTGCAAAGTCCAGATGCATGTACATAGATCTGCCTTAGCGCAGGTAGGACGTACGGTCCCCTAGAGCCAAACGGCCACCTCTATTCTCACCCGGGATGAGAATAGTGCAGGCTAGTCTTTTGGCTATTCTCACCCGGTGCGCGTTCACCGTTATAGCCTAGATCTAGACCAACAAATTTTGCGTTCACCCTAAACCACAGAATTCTACACTGTGATAACAGAAAAATTGTAGAATTCTGTGCCGTGAACAAACGTTCCATTACAACTGTAGCCTACTAAAAGCGTAGCCTACAATTTTGTATGTGGGCAGTGGAGAGAGAGAGAGAGAAAGAGACAGAGAGAGGAGTAGCGCGAGAACTTCCGGTCAAAACAAAATGGCGACCCGCATAGTTCGGCTCGATTCGAAAAGTTAAATAGCCGTAGCATCTTTGTAGACAACCAAATTAATTTACTTTTGTGTTTTAACATCATTTTTTAACTTTGTTTTGGTCAATTTGATCGTCCACACCGATAGACAGTATTCAGAAAGAGACAGAGGGAGCGAGAGAGGGGAGGAGTAGATCTTGCGAGAACTTCCGGGCAAAACAAAATGGCGACCCGCGTAGTTCGGCTCGATTCGAACAGTGAAATAGCCATATCATCTTTGAAGACGATCAAATTAGCTTACTTTGGACGGTGCTATAACGTAATTTTTTCTTGGCTTTTATCAATTTGATCATCCACACCGATAGACAGTATTCCAAAATGTGGAAAAGCAGGTCTTGTTTCGCACCGGGTGAGAATAGCCTACGCTGGCAAGTCTCACCCGGGGTGAGAGGTAGATCGTTTTTCTATTCTCACCCCGGATGAGAATAGCCACTTCCGCGCCAAACACTATGGGGGCGTACGGTCCCCTAGCGCCAAGCGCTATTGGGGCGTACGGTCCCCTAACATCAGCCATTCCGAAATGAGGAAAAACAGGTCTTGTTTCACACCGGGTTAGAATAGCCTACGCTGGCAAGTCTCACCCGGGGTGAGAGGTAGATCTAATCTAGATCGTATTTTTATTCTCACCCCGGGTGAGGATCGCCACTTCCATTTCTTTCTCCCCCTCCCTTTCTCTCTCTCTCTCTCTCACTGCCCGCAGACAAAATTGAACTCTTTCAACATAAGACCGCTGAAACGTTTGTTTACACTGGTATCACATGGAACGTTTGTTTACACTGGTATCACGGTGAACGCACAGCGGGGGTGAGAATAGCCAAAAGGCTTGTCCTCTCACCCCAGGTGAACCGTGAGAGGCCTACAACTGCGCTATTCTCACTCCGGGTGAGAATAAAGGTGGCCACTCGCAAAAATAAATTTAACGAAGTGGCTATCGCACGGCTCCCGTGCGCCCTCCCGTACGTTTAGCGAGCGTCGAGGCTATGTGTACGGCCCTCCACTTCACAATTATAGTAGATCTAGATTCTAGATCTAGATCTACATTTAGATATATCTAGAAAATAGATCTACATCTGGATCTAGATTTCTAGATCTAGATCTAGATCTAGATCTAGAAGTCTAGATCTAGAATCTAGATATATCTAAAATCTAGATCTGAACATTACAACTGAACAACTTCTGAGTAAAATACAGAACGTACCGCATCGTTTTCCAACAGCATTCTGACGACCAGGAAAATATTTTGTCTAATTCTCACAGAAAAGCAATCTAACAAAATTGGAACGTGGGTCTAGATTATCTAGATCTAGAACCAGGCTATAATAGCAATGTAAAAAAGTAACAGATTGAACGTATGCTGGAAGTCGTGTGAGTGCCACAAGAGACTGTCGCTGTGTACTGTGTGTCGTGTGTGTACTGTGTGTGCCTGAAGCGGAAGTCACTTGTTTCGTATCTTATTCCGCAAAGAGTTTTACTAACGCCAATCCCAGCCCAGGCAATCCATAGATTTGTATAGATCTAGGTCTACTGATCTAGATTCTAGATCTAAATCTAGATCTAGATTCTAGATCATATCGATCTACTGTCAAAGCTGACTTTTTAAATAAAACCTTCGTTTCATGGGCCACACCCTAGGCCTTCTCAGGTCTAGGCCACCCCACGACATGAATTAATTTTAGATTTCCAGTCTATCGCATGCATATTATGAAAAAAAAACAAAAAAACAAAACAAAACAACCAAAAAACATCCACCCTTTATTATCAGTCTATAATACAGGCTAGGCCAACGGCTAAAAAAATGGTGTTGGGTGCACTCGAAAATAAACCAGCGGTAACAAACAAAAAATAATGTAGGGAACGATCTAAGTATTGTGACATAGGCCAAGCCCAAAAGTCTATGGATCAGCCTGGCGCATGTAGTTTGATCGTTTGTTTTGAAGCATTAATTTAAAAAAAAAAAAAAGTAAGCAAATCTGTGCTTGCCATGTATCTATAGTGCACTTTAAAGGTTTGTTAAAGTTGGTCACACTGTAAACACACTAAGTAAAAAATAACAGGAAAAGAACATTCAGATGTTGGCCTACAAGATTTGTGTACGGTACACGTTCATAACATGGCCATATGGAAATCAAGTTTACTGAAAACAAAAGTTATATTATTTTACATACACAAACATACACAGAGAGAGAGAGAGAGAGAGAGAGAGAGAGAGACAGAGAGA